GCTAAATGGAAAGAATGGACTAAACACAGATGGGCCTGTGAATAAATGAAGACAGAAGGAATTAAATGAATGTTAAGAAAGAGACTTGCATCAAGTACGTAGACAGCAGGAGCAGTGCAAAAGAGAGAATAAGTAGTTAGAAAGGTGAGGAGAAGGTACTATAACAGGAGACACTAGATAGATTACAGGGGTTGTTAATAAATATTTTGTTCTAAGATGACATGGCAGGTAGACGTGACATTGTATGATGAAATGAGCAATGAGAAAAGTGCAGTTAAAATTTCAAGTGTAGTGAACACATGATCAAACTTGAATGAATGAAAAAGTCCCTGGTCCTGATGGAATGCATACTTTAGAAGAACCTAGTGATAACATTGCAGAAGCCTTGCTAATCATTTATGATAATTCCTTAGGGTGCATGCCAGAGAAGTGGTGGATAGCTAATGTACTTCTAATATTTAAAAAGTGGGAATGGAAGTTGGAGAATAAATTATAGTCCAGTCAGCTCAACAATGGTGGTAGGAAAAATAATGGAATCCTTAGCAAAGGAAAGAACAGAAGAACATCTAAAAATGAGAAATATAATATGAATAGAATGTTGGATTTCAAAACACACAATTTTACACCACCAACTTAACTGAATTTTGAGATAAAGTAATCAGTGTTGATGTTGTCGATGTAATTTTTCTGAATTTTCAAAAGTCATTTGATAAGGTGGACTCATAGTGGACTCATGAATAAGATCAGAGAATGTGAACTTGGGGTTCAAGTGGCACAATGATTTGTCAACTGACTTCAAGACAGCAAGCAGAGAATGGAAATGAAAGAGAGAATGTGGGAAGTGATGCTCCAAAAAGATCAATGCTCAGGTCATGCTGTTCATAATTCACTTTAACAATTTGCCCTCTTGATGCAAAAATACAAATTTTATAAATGGAACGGACATCAAATTGGGAAGGACGCTGTCAGTACTGAGCATGACTATTGTAACAGATTACAGGGGAACATTAATCATTTTGCAAAATGTGCAAGTAATTGACACATGATCTTCAGCAGAGGTAAACGTAAGATTGTATGTTTTGATGGGAAGAGTAGGGCAGTCACTTACTTGCAGAGTACAGGTCTACATGAGGCAGAGGACTACAGATATGCCAACCAGTCAATTTTCTGTTGCATGTTAGCAACATCATAAGAAGGCAAACCAATTGCTTTGTTTTATTTCGATAGAGATAGGATTGAGAAGTAGAGATGTTATTGCTAAACCTGTATCAGAACTTAGATCAGATTATTAAGACTGGCAGTTCTGGAACGATATTATGAATAGAAAGATGTGCCGTGAAGAGTTACAAGGACAACATCAGAAGATACATGAGTATACAAATCAAGAATGGTTTGACAAACTGGGTTTCTTTTCACTCGAAACAATAGAATGGCTTAAAATAGAGAATTAAAGAGAGTGGGTGGCATGGTGGCTCAGTGGTTAGCACTGCTGCCTCACAGCGCCAGGGTCCTGTATTTGATTCCAGTTTCAGGCAACCATCTGTGTGGAGTTTGCACGTTCTCCCTGAGGGTTTCCTCTGGGTGCTCTGGCTTACTCCTACAGTCCAAAAATGTGCAGGGTAGGTGGATCGGTAGTGTGCAGGGATGTGCAGGCTCAGTGGATTAGCCGTGGGAAATGCAAGGTTACAAGGATAGGATTAGTGGGGATAGGTGTGGATGGGTTGCTGTTTGGAGGGGTTGTGTGGACTCGATGGGCCGAATGGCCTGCTTCCACACTGTAGGGATTCTATCATTCTATGGGTGCAGTGAGAATGCTCTTCCCCACAGGAAAAAACAAAACTAGAGTCCAACAATACAAGATAATTCAATAGAGAAGAGGCATTTAAATGGAAAGAATAAACTAAACACCAGCCGGAATGTATGAATTAAGTCATAAGGGTTGAAGGTTAAGAAAGATGCTTGCATCAAGTGCAAAGACAGCCAAGAAATCTGATAAAGAAGACACATATTTACCCAAAGCATGACAAGAATGTGGAGTTCACTACCACAGGGAGTGGTTGAAGTGACGAATAAAGATGCATGTAAGTGGGAACCACTCAAGCAATGAGACAGCAAGGGAAATAGATGGTTGCATGGTAAATTTAGGTGACAATAGAATGGAGGTGGTCTGAGTAGAATATAAACTTTGGCATAGACTAGTTGTGCTGCTTGGCCTGTTGCTGTGTTGCACATCCTATGTCATAGAGTCCGAGATATCTACAACACAAGCAGAGGACCTTCGCCCGTTGTGTCCATGCTGGTGAAAAAAACAATCACCTAACTATTCTAATCCTGTTTTCTGCCCCTCGGCCCAAAGCCTTGTGTGCCTTGGCATCGCAAGCGCTTGTCTACATATGACTTAAATGTAGTGAGGGTTTCTGCCTTAACCACCCTTACCGATTGAGTTCCAGCCTTCCACAACACTCTGGGTGAAAATGTTTTTCCTCACCTTCCTCCAAACTTTCTGCTCCTAACCTTAACTTGTAGAATCATGGAATCCCTACAGTGTGGAATCAGGCCATTTGGCCCATTGAGTCTCCGAAGAGCATCCCGTTCAGACTAACCACTGAGCCACTGTGCCACCCTTGTCATTGATCTCTCTATCAATGGGAAGGGTTCTTCCTGTGTACCCTATTTATGTCCTTCTGTAATTTTATACATGTATAATCCTATGTCAGCTTCAAATGTGATACCACTAGAAGTTGCTGTCTGACTTCCTTTTCAACAATGGTGAGTGCACAGCCACTGTTGTTTTTACTGCAAAATCTTGGCAGTTATAATTTTTTTCATTAAAGCACTGTTTGAATGCCTTTCATACCAGTAAGGTGTTAGCTTTGGTTGTCAGATATATTGCATCAATATTAGGAGGTTATTAGAGTCTAGTAAATTTGTCTTTACTATCTGATTGGCAATCTATCCAACAACTTGAACATTCAGTTCCTGCTTCATTGACAGTGGCAGCAGTGATGCACTAAGGCTCCTCTGACAACACCTTCCAAATCTGCAACTTTTACCACCTAGCAGGACAAGATGCATGGAAATGCCACCACCTGCAAATTCCCCTCCAAGCCAACGATCATCCTGACTTGGAAATATATTGCTGTCCTTTCATTGTAATCCGGTAAAAAAGAGTCTTGAACTCCCTTCCTAACAGGAATATGGGTATACCTACATCGCAAGGACTATGGCAGTTGAAGAGTGCAGCTTCTTCAGGGTAATATGGGATGTTCAGTAAATGATGGTTTAGCCAGCAATGCCAACAAACCATGAACTCGCCTTTAAAAGGTGTATATTCTAAATATTTCCTGCTGTTTGCAGCTGTGGTGTATCAATGATGCATTGAGCTTGTTTGATATTTGAACGATTATATTAAATATTTGTTTTATCTTGCAGAATAGTATTGAATTTTTACAGCAGGTGTCTTTCAAGCTGTGTGGAAGGTTGTGTTTTCTTAGGAGTATTTGTTCTAATCCGAATTCTTTGCTCTTTTACTTGATTTCTTTATGTTTAGCTATAACCCGCTAAACAAGATTGGCCATTTTGTGGTCATTCAGGGATATAGGAGGCAAATTACGTGGCTTTACACTTGAGGCTTGAAATGTAGGACAAATATAACCTAATCTATGGCAAATATCTGTTGTTATTTCATTAGCCCCTTTTCAGGAAAGTTTCGAGAACAGGCTCTCCAAGGCAGGTGTCTGATTCCTATTCAGACAGATACTAGTAAACCACATCTTTCTTACTGTTATGATCTTCACATATTCAAAAAATGTAGCAATATTTTTCTGAAATGCTGCCACTTTGTACTGGAAGTTTCTTTCTCCTCTGACCTCCCTCACTTAGCTGACTACTTTGTTTTTCTGGTGTACATCTCCACAGCATGTTGACCATTCCAGTTTGAGAGATCCTGATCTGTTTCAGGTTATCAAGGAAGCAAAATGAGTTGAATGTAGACATTGTTACTGTTAGAGGGGATAAGACAATGGCTGACAATTCTCCTCAAACTGTTCTTCATGTGCTTATCAGTTCATATGTGAAGAAGTTGAGATATTTGGTTATTGCATGTCTGAATTATTATAATAAGTGTTTGCATTTCCACCATTACTAAGACAGTCTACCTCCATATGTTTTCTGACAACATCCCTTCCTCAAGTTGTCTGCTCCTCAGTGCCTTTGTTACCTCTAGATGTAACCATTTTAAAACACTTCTGGTTGGTCTTGCATGTTCCACCCTTTAAACTTGAGGTCAACCATACTATGGTGTTATTCAAATCTGTGTGCTTGCTGACCTAAATTAGCTTCTGATAAAGCAGTACCTTCAATTTAAATTTGTCCCATGTTTTCAAAACCCTCTATGGCTTTGCCTCTTCTATGTCTGTAGCATCACTCAGCCTCACAACCCACCAAGGTATCTGTGATGCTCTAATTTTTATTTTTTGATACATCCACAACTTTAATTTTTCAATCTTTGGGAGTTCCTTCAGCTACTTCAGAAATTTTAAGCTCTAGAATTTACCCCCAACCCACTCCATTTCTGAATTTTTTTTTCCTCTTCTGAGATGCCACTTAAAACCTCTGTCTTTGACCAAGTGTCTGTGTGTCTGCCTGGTATCTCCTTACGTGATTACTTTGTTTTATAACACAGCTGTGATGCACCCTGTGATATTTTACTAGATTCAAAGGTGATGTAGAAATACAGATTGTTGTTTGCATTTAATTTGGAATTATTCACCGAACCTAGAATTTGTGGGATTTGAACACGATCTGCCCTATATAAAATTATGAATTTGACAATACTTCTCACTTAATAGAACATTTCTTGGTATCATAGTATGTACAAAACAACCTTCAACTTCTGGTGAATACAAACAACGCAAGATCTCTCTTTGTTGTTATTTGGTTACATAATTGGGTTGCTTCTAGTGGGCAGCTGCCTTAATTGTTTTGTATTTTATGTCTAGGGTACACTTCTGAGGAGAGCCACTCCACACCCAGGGGAACTGAAGACTTTAAAAAAGACAGCAGAAAACTTGAGGAATGATATGAATGCTGCTAAAGGACTGGACTCCAACAAAAATGAGGTCAATAATGCCATTAAAAGAGTGACCACTTCTGTATAGAGTTTTACCTCAAACTCACGCCTTGTGTGTCTCCCCGACTGTGTGAACGTTAATGTTAACCCATCCTTGGAATTGTTCCAGTCTGTTTGTACGCACCAAACTCACCTGATTTTGTTTCTTCATGTCGCAGTGTTTGTTGTAACTGCAACCTGGGAGAAAGTGCCTTGTTTCTGCTAATGATTGCACCAAATTGCCCAGACATATTCTGCACATTTTATCATGTCATGTTTTGCCTAAAAGAACTATTCATCTTTTTTATATATTTTATATATATAAATATATATATATATATATATATAGGTAGATGCACTACTGTATAGAAGTAGAAATCCTTGCATATAATTTTGTTATACACAGGGTGAATGCATTCTTTTTAAAAAAGCTATATTTTTGGGGGTTGTATGCCCAGGTATTTGGACCTGCTGAAAAATAATTGTACAGTTTTATGTGAAATTTGATACTTTTATACAGGTTGGCAGCTTGATTGTGTAAATTTTTTTTGTATAGCAAGTTTAATAATAGGTAATGCAAGTTTTTGAATTTCATCAAAAGTGGTACACTTTTATTTTTCAGTAGCTATAGAAGTCAGTTCTTTGTTTCCCAAATCATCTGCATTTTGTGTTGAACCTGTTTAACTTTTTTTCCAGCTGAGTTGCCCTTTCCCCACCCTCCCCATTCCATGTTGTAAGCCAAGTCTTTGGTATGATGTGCTAATAGCACAGAGCTCTTTTACTCCTTGGGATAGTTTTGCAATGGTTGGGCACTTTTTGTGGGACACAGAAATACACAACACTAGATCAGATTAGAAGACTTTCAGGTTTGTTATTACTTTTAGTTCTTGCCCTGCTGAACAAACAGACTTTGCACCAAATGAATGTGCTGTGAACAACACTTTAAAAGGTTAATTCTAATCAATGTAACATCATCTTCCTTTGCCTGATGCAGCATTTTCTTTTGACTGGAATTTGTAACTATTATACAGTTGTGAACAGTTTTATAATGTGTAAAACCTGGGGTTCAGTCTTGATTTTTATTCATTGATCATGTACTGCACAAAAAATATTATGTTTTACAGTAAGTGAAGACTTAGTTTTGGCCATAGATGACCACTATAAAAATTTGGCAATAGTCTTTCAAATGAACACTTGATTTTCTGCTGGTGCTGAGAAATATATTGACTAGGTGTATAATCTTATATTGGGGACCTCCAGTCAGGCAAATCATAGAAATAAAACCGAGTGGTTTATGAACATGTCTAAACAGAGATTGTTACGGGTTTGAAGTCACTCATTTCTGTTTCTTCAGAATATGTCCTGAACACTTGTCATTTTGTTAATTACATTGCTGACTCTTTTTGTTCATTGTCGTACTGTATATGGAAACTGGTAGGGTCTCTTTGTATAGATTCATTGATCTGCTTCTTTCTTTCTAGATACATTTTATGTATTTTTGCTGAATAAACATGATTAATTTTTGTAAGAATTTGTAAGAATCTGTAAAGAAAACAAATATTTTAGCATACTTTGAAAAATTTACATTAGCTGCTTTACAGTTGACATTGAAGAGCTTCCTGCTGGGATTTTGCAGCTTTTGATCTTTCTTCTCTTTTGCTGTTAATACGTTGACTAATATTGTTGTTTTCTTCCATTTTTCCAGCTGTTCTGCAACTGCTGTTTTATTTCAAGGATTTCTGTTCTGTTTTTGTTGTATTGACAATTGCCTCATTCTTTGTGTGCAGAAGTATTATGCTTGTTTTATACATTATGACTATATATTTCAGTTACAGAATTATACCTTCTATTAATTTATATTTATTAACTCCTGTTAATGCTAACTTTCTCCATTGCTGCAGAATTGCTGACTTTAACGAAGAAACTTCATACTTTTTGATCACTATTTTATTTCAGGATTTCATTAATGAGCACATGAATGAACAAATTGTTTCTGTATTGGATTTTGTGCTCTGAAATTTGGAAGAACACCCGTTACTTTCCTATGTGCTGTATTTTAAATGAAAATCAACTTACTGATTCATCATCAGCTCTCACTGGTGGCACTATCAGCTATGACATTCGGTATGAAAATTTCACTCTCAACTCTTGAAATTTCTCTCCTTTTGTGAAGAACTGGCCCTTGTGGTTACATTGCAGGTGTTTTGCTGTGCATCCTATTATTAGAATATTTGTTAGTGGCATGCAATCTTGGCTTTAAAATATTTACATTCCCAAGTGGGGCATACTAATTCAAGGATTCCCCACAAGTGAGGAGTCTGTCTTTTAAGATGAATGTGAAGTTCAAATCAAAAATGCATGTCAGGTACTTGTCAAGAGCACAGGAGAAGTAATTACGGTTTTAAAATCAAGTTACATGGAAAGAGTAAAGAAACAGTCAAGAATTCTACTTCAAATATGGCAGGCAATGGCAAAACTATATGAAGTGCATTGGTTAAACAGGAAGAGAGAGATAATAAACGGGTGAAGAACGAATCAGTGCTGAAGGACAGATTAAAATGTGTGGTCAAAATAAGAGTTCTATGTATGAATGCGTGAAGTGTAAGGAATAAATTTAATAAGCTGCAGGCACAGATTCAAATTGGAGATTATGATACAGTAGTCATTACTGAGACATGGCTGCAGGATTGTCGGGATTGAGAACTAAATACAATAGGTATAAGGTTTACAGCATGAACAGGAAATATGGCAGAAGAGATGGAGTTGAGTGAATAAACAAAATTACTTCAGTGGTGAGGGAGGATATAATGAGGAGAATTCAGTGAAGCTGATGTAATTGTAACACAGAACCCGTAAAAGATCTAAAACTGTAATTGGTGGCGTATACACTCCTCTGGTAGCAACTCTGAAGTGCTAGACTGTATAAACAGAAATTAGCCAAGTGTATGCAGTATTGACAGGGGACTGTATAGTTAAGGACACAGTGTTTCTGTGACTGCAAACGAGACTCCAGGATGGTCTATTGTGTCCCTGGTGGCAGGGTCAGAGATGTCTCAGCGTGCACGGGATGTTCTGAAGGGGAATTGTGAGCAGTCCAAGGTTGTGGCCCATATTGGTACTAATAGTACAGGCAGAAAAAGAGATGAGGTCCTTCAAATGGAGTTCAGGGAGTTAGGTAGAAAGTTAACGAGCAGGAACTCTAAAGTTGTGATCTCGGGATTACTTTCTGTGCAATGTGCTAGTGAGATTGGGAATAGGAAGGTAGTGCAGTTAAATATGTGGCTAAAGAGCTGGTGTAGGAGGCAGCGCTTCAGGGATGTGGATCATTGTGATGTGTTCTTATACAGGTCCCACCTGCCCCAGAAGGACATATTGCACCCAAACTGAAGGGGCACCAAAATCGTGGTGGTGGGGCTGAAGAGGGGACCGAGAATAGTTGATCACCAAGTTAAATGATAAAGGAAGTGTCAGAGACTAAAGCCAGTAAGGCTAAGAGAAAGAATAGACAGGGAGAAGTTGCTGAACACAGCAGGTCCGGTGGTCTGAGATGTATTTCTTCTAATGCGAGGAGAATGTCAGTGAAGGCAGATGAAACTTGAACATAGAGCTTGAATTAGTACATATAACTATTATATAGCTATTTCAGAGACTTGGCTGAGAGAGGGATAAGACTGGCAGCTTAACGTACCAGAATTTAAATGTTTCAGGCGAGATAGAGAGGATGTAAAAGATTTGGGGGAGTTGTGTTACTGATTGGGGATATTATTGCAGTTGTACTGAGAGAGGGCATCTTGGAGGTCTTATTCAGCAAGGCCATATGGGTAGAACTCAGGAATAGGAAGGGTGCAGTCACTTTCATGGGACTGTACTACAGGCCTCCCACCGGTCAGCGTGTGATTGAGGAACAGATATTGAAAAATGTGAAAACAACGGGGTTGTTGTATTTGTGTTTTATACATGAAGGTAGCAAGGAAAAGGTAGATCCACTCCAGGATAAAGGAGTGAATTTATGCATAGAGCCAGAGAAGGTGGGCAAGGTTCTTGAATATTTTCCGTTGGTATTCACAAAGGAGAAGGACATGGTGGATGATGAGTTTTGGGAAATGTTGATATTCTAGGGTATGTTGGTCTGAAAATGAAGGTATTGGGGTATTTTAAGAGTATTAAGTCCCTAGGACCTGATCAGATCTATTCCAGAATGCTGAGGGAGGCAGGTGAGGAAATTGATGGAGTCTTGTATGAAATCTTTGTATCCTCTTTAGTCACAGGAGAGGTTCCAAAGGGCTGGAGAATAGCCACAGTTGTTCCTTTGTTTTAGAAGAATAACAGGGATGATCTAAGAAATTACAGGCTGGTGAGCCATACATCAATGGTTGGGACATTATTGGAGAAGATTCTCTTGGATAGGATTTACTCAAATTTGGAAAAATATTAACTCCATTAGCGATAAGCAACATGGCTTTGTGAGGACAAGGTCACGTCTCACAAACTTTATTGAGTTTTTTGAGGAGGTGACAAAATGATTGATGAGGGCAGGGCAGTAGATACTGTCTATATGGACTTTAACAAGGCCTTTGTCAAGTTCCGTTATAATAGGCTGATACAATGAGGTGAAGTCACACGGTATCTGAGGTGAGCTGGTAAGATGGATATAGAAATAACTCAGTCATAGAAGACAGAGAAGTGGTGGAAGGGTGTTTTTCAGTTTTGAGAGCTGTGACCAATGGTGTTCCACAGGCCTCAGTGCTGGGATCCCCGTTGTTGTCTTTATATATATAAGAAATGATTTGGAGGAGAATGTAGGTGGACAGATCAGTAGGTTTGCGGATGACACCAATTGCCAGTGATTGCAGGTGATGCATTTTGGGAGATCTAATAGGGGAGGGAGGTATACAGTAAACGCTAGAGCCTTAGAAGCATCAACATATAGAGGGATCTAGGCATTCAGGTCCACAGTTTCCTGAAAGTGGCAACACAAATGCATAAGGTGGTCGAGCATTTGGCATGCTTGCCTTCATCAGTAGGGATGTAGAGTATAATAATTGGCAAATCATGTTGCAGCTATATAGAACTTTAGTTTTGGAATAGTGCATAGAGTTCTGATTGCAACAATACCAGAATGATATAAGATCTTTGGAGAGGGTACAGGAAGTATTTACCAGGATGCTGACTGGTTTGGAGGGTATTCGCTATGAAGTGAGATTGGACAAACGATTTTTTTTTCCACTTGAGAAACCGCAGCAACTCCCATTGGGCAATTAGGGACAAGCAATAAATGCTAGCCTAGGCAGCAGTGCCCACATCCTGAAGGAATAAAGCACTTGAACATCAAAGGATGAGGAACAACCTGATAGAAATTTATGAAATTATGAAAGGCATGGATAGAATGGATAATTGGAATTTTTTTTCCCCAGGGTAGAAATGCCAACTACCCAGGATAGAGGCTTAAGGTAAAAGGGATTACGTTTAAAGCAAATGTGAAAGGCAGGTTTTTTACGTAGAGGGTTGTATTTGCCTGGAATGTGCTGCCAGAGGAGGTAGTGGGAGGGATACGATAGCAGATGTATGAATAGGCAAGGAAAAAGAGGGGTACGGACAGCGTAGAATAGAAAGGCGTCATGTTGGTACAGTCTTGGAGGGCTCAAGGGCCTGTTCCTGTGCTGTCCTGTTTGTTGTTCCCATTTAGCAAAGCAAAAGTAGTATTAATGAGGGATTTTAACTTTAACATAGATTCGAAGAGGCAGACAAGCACTTGTTAAAAAGCTAGTGATTTTCTGGAGTGTGTCCAGGACAGTTTCTTACAGCAATATGTCCTTTATGCAAATAGGAGATTAGCAGTTTGGATTTAGTAATGAGCCAGATTTAAATAGTAACCTAATTAGAGTTTAGAATGATGAGGCAGAATCTCATTGAAACTTGTGTGTAGCTCTGGCCTCTAAAAGGGCTTTACATGCACGAGAGAAGATACAATAGGGTTAGAGCTTAAAAAAAACAAGTGATTCTTTTCTCTTGAAGAGTGGAGTGACATAAGAACATTTTTGAATTTTGACGGGTTTGATACAGTAGGCAAAGTGAAGACATTTCCATTTGTGGGTAAATTCTATAAATGCATTTGACTCCTAGATTATATCTCAAAATCCAATAACCAATTTGGGAGAATTGTTTTTTGAAGGAGGAAGCAGTCAGAACGTTGAACTTGCTACCACAAGTCACTGAGGTGAGGAGTACTGGTGCATTTAACGGGAAGCTAGATGAGTGTATGTGGAAGAAAGGAATAGAGAGCCATGCAAATAAAATTAGGTGACTTGAGGTCAAATAAATTTCATTTGGATCATAAACACTAGCACATACCAGATTAGCTGAATAGCCATATCTATGCTGCAATGTATGTGTAATTCGATATAAATTCAGGTTTGAGCTGACAAAAAAGGATTGAAGAGCACACTGACAGTATAGCAGCATATCACCATTCTCATGTGTTCATAACCAGAGCATTAGTTTAGGTTAGTTCGTCTTCTCAGATCTAAA